CTGCCTATATGCCAGTGTTGCGTGTGGGCGGCCTCCCTCTGAGCCTGCGCCTGGGCCCCAGTACCTGTACCCAGGCCCAATGCAGTTGGGGCCCGACGCAGTACAGTTGTGCCTCTTTCATCCAGGCCAGAGTCCAGATTCAGGTAGTGGACCGATTTCTCATTGGCATTTTCGGCCTCTATTTCCAGTATGCAATGTCGGCCTCACGTTTATGTGCCCCGACTTGTCCCGCTGACAGATCTGACAGGTCTCTACGTATTTCTTTGCGTCATCTAACATTCCAGGCCACCAAAATCGCTGTACTAGATTAGCACTCGTCTTCTTGTAGCCAAAGTGCCCGGTTGCGTCATGGCATTCTCCTAGAAATAAACTACGCAAACGTTCACTAAATGGAATTACTAACCTATTTATTTCGGCCTTATCAAGATAGAGAAGCCCGTCCACCATCACAAACTCACTTTCTGTGGACTTGTCTTTTGCCTGAAGTTTGCGAATGATTTCCATCGTGACATGGTCTTCTTGATAGGCTCCCACCAACGATTGAGTTACTTCTTCAGATACACCAAAGTCCGAGACTAGCGCACCTAGGTAGTCTGCCCTACGTGATAGCGCATCTGCAACCTTGTTGTACTCTCCCTTCAGATACTCAAGCTTGAAGTCATATTGGTCTATGACCTCAATCCATCGCTTGAGTGCGTCAGAAAGAGCCGGTTGAGTCTTGATCCATTTGAGGGTCTGATGATCAGTCCTCAAGTAGAAGAACCTTCCCAATAGGAAGTGCCTCCAATGGACAAGTGCTTTGTATAGAGCATAGAGTTCCCTTTCATAGGTGGACTTTGCCAGTTTCTTCAATGGCATCTTCTTGCTGATGTACTCAATCGGTCTCAACTTCTTCCCATCTTGTTGAGCCAGCACTGCGCCAATGCCGTATTGGCTTGCGTCAATGGTCACTATGAATGGCTTCTGAGGATCGGGAACCATGAGAACCTCATGATTCATGAGTGCATGCTTCAATCGCTTGAAAGCACCTTCGCACTCATCACTCCAGTCCCACGGCGTGTCAAGTCGAGTTAGATCTGTCAAAGGAGAGGCGACTGTAGAATAGTTCTTTACGAAGTTCCTATAGTAGCCGCACATTCCTAAGAAAGATCTGACCTCAGTGACTGTCCGAGGCCGTGGCCAGTCTCGGATATTAGCCACCTTCGCATCTTCCGGCCTATTCCCTTCCGCGGATACTTCTTGACCCAAGTATAGTATCTTTGTGCGACCGAACTTACACTTCTCTAAGTTGACCGAATACTTGTGTTGTCGAAGGAGTGAAAGTACCGACTCAACATGCTGTGCATGCTCCTCGGCAGACTTACTAAAGATCAGAATGTCGTCAAGGTAGACCACGACAAGCTTATCTAAATGGTCATGGAAGATCCGATTCATATCGTGCTGGAACGTTCCCGACGCATTGCAAAGACCAAAGGATATCACTACAAACTCATACAAACCATAACGTGTCTGAAAGGCTGTCTTGTGTTGGTCCTCAGGTCTTATAGTGATCTGATGATAGCCGGATTTCAAGTCTATCTTGCTATAGTACTTGCATCCCTGCACCCTATCCAGTTGGTCGTCTATGCGAGGTAGAGGCTCTGCGCTCTTCACGGTGATGGCATTGAGGCCTCTATAGTCAATGCACATCCTAAATGTACCCCCCTTCTTTGGTACGAATAGTACTGGCCCGTAAGGGGAAGTACTAGGCCGGATCCATCCCTTCTCTGTCAGCTCTTTCAGTTGTCGCCGGAGTTCATCTAACTCGGCGGGAGCCATCCTATAGATCCTCCCCTTTGGGGTTTTACTCCCTGGGATGATTTCTATAGGGTGGACAACTTCCCTTTCTACGACCCCTGTAGGCTCTTCGAACAGATCAGGGAACTTAGCAACGACGCGTTCTATCTCTGGGGGTGTTTTAACGGCTTCCCCTTTCTCAGAGACTTACACTAGGTACATACCCTCCTTTTGGTTTTGGTTATAGTAATTGTAGAACGCTGATGCACACAAGCAGCCATAGGTATCTATAATGCTACTGGCTTTGAACTTAGTCAATCTGATAGTTCTGCCATCGGGCAACTTATGTTTGAGCACCTTCTTATCCCAGTCGAACTAGGGCTTAGCAACCTCAAGGTAGTACATGCCTAACAACATGTCGAATGGTAAGTCGTCGCTAACCAAGAACGAAATCTTATGATTAAGTTCTCCTTCTCCATAGGAGAAGGTACAGACTACGTCCTTGATATAGCATGTTACTATCATGTGCTCCTTGTTGGCCAAAGTAGATGCTACAGGTCTACTAAGGTGCCGTACCCGGTCCTGTAGGTGCAGCCTTTCCAAACAGTTGCGACTTGTGTAATTCCGTGTGGAGTCAATGTCTATGAAGGCACCACATTTGCGGCCTCCTACATCGACTTCCACCACGAAATGCTCCCCTCTAGGACCTTGCCTTAGCGCCAACCAAGATTCGCGAGGGTCCTTGTTTGACCACTCACTTTCCAGATCTTCTGAGGCCTCAGACACATCCAACGTACAGAGCATAGTTTGGTCAGGATAAGTCTGCGGGGTGACTAAAGAGTCATTAGCTATGGCCTGCTCATGAAGTGGGGAGGGTATCGGGCCCACTTCATCTTGAGTAGAAGCAGCTAAAACTTCCACCAGCCTCACATGTTTCCCGAGCTAGAAGCCTGGGAAGAAGATGCTCCCATCTTAGGAGGTATCTTTTGCGTGACCTTTGTGTTCTGGCACTTGTACTGGCTGTGTCCATATTCACCACAGTTTATACAAGCGCCACGCACTCGGCGGTCCCGCCACACGTCTTGATCAAGACCTGCCTTAACCCAATCAGCCACTTTGGTTTGATTGGAGGCGGCCTTCCCTTGACTCTTTGGTTGGCCCTTCCCTCGGCCACCTGCCTTAGCCTTTACTACTGCGGCGAGGGTGCTACCCTCAGCGGTCTCCTCGCCGTCGTACTCTGTATAGTCCACCAGGTCTGTGAGCTCGTCGATCTCCGCTTGAGTCCCATTGGACTCAACCATCATCAACATGGCCCCCTTCTTCTTCCATTCCTGGGGACTTTTCTTCTTCTTCGCATCACTCTGAGAAGGTTGAGCGTTTCCTAGAGTGGCCTCCAAATCTAAGGCTTTCCTAGACAACGTCTCAAAGGAGTGATACTCGAGGCGTGCCTCGCTGGCCAGCAAGTTCCTGAGGTTCTCTGGAAGACATCTGACAAACGTAGTCAACACGAACTGGTCACTATAGTTAATGCCTGGAACGACGATAAGGCTCTCTATGGTAGTCGTAAGCTTTCTGACTGACTTAAACTTTCGTTGGTCTAGTCTGTTGATCGCATCAGCGGCTATTTGTGCCTGCTGAGGATTGTGCCAGCGAGCTTCTACCACCTCAAAGAATTGGTCCAAGGTAATAGACTGAGCCCAGTCCGCCATACGTCGTCCATACCCGGCCTTTGAAACTATACCATCTAGCCATTTGGCTGCCTTACCCTCAAGGTACGATGCAGCAGTAATCACCTCCTCCTCTGACAAGGTCCTTTTTGCCTTCACCCAAACCGGGACTGTTCTCAACCAAGTGTTGAGTTCTTCGTCCTTCCTCTCGCCTGAGAAGGCAAGAGGCGGTTTCATTGGGGTTTTAGGATACCAATGACCTTGCGGCTGTCCCTGTTGAGGAACAGGTTGCGGTGGTGTAGCTCCCACCGCTGGACCCGAAGAAGAAGACGCAACAGTCTGTGCGGCTGCTGCAGATGTGCCACTTGGTTGTGTGTCAGTTTGAACTGGAAAGGGGCATGACATCGTCGTTAACGGCAACGGCGACTGTGGTGGAGGCCTAAATCCTGGCCTTGTCAGAACGTCCAGGATCTGGTCAAGAGTGCTCTGCATGAAGTCCAATCAGCTGTCCACGTGCTCATGCAACGACAACATATTTTTCTTCAGTACTTTCATTTGGTCAGACAATGCTGACTCATCCAAGCCCTCTAACTCCGCTTTGTCAGCCTCTAAAGTATCAAGCCTGGTTGTTCTATTTTTAATCTCTCTTTCTCTATCGGTTGCTTTCTTCAGGTCCCTCTCTAACTGTTCACGGATCCTTTCGACCTGCTGGAGCTCCCTGAGCTCCCTTTCGCGAGGAGTCAACGGGCTGAACTGCGAGCCCGCCATTTGACTTGTAGATTGACGAGAACCCAACGAACTGGAAGTACCCGTGGACCTTGTTGGCATTCCCAACTGGGTCCCATTGGTCCCAGACAACGCAGCAAAGGATGCTGCTGAACTAGTCATGGCTGCTGCCCTGACTGCTGCTGCAGCCTGTTCCCTAGCTGTGGCGTTTGCTGTTTCCCTAGCTGCTGCTAGTGCACGGGCTCTGCGTTCGGCACGAAGCCGTCTTTCGTCTTCCGGTTGTAAGGTCTGGAACACGTGCGGGATCCTACGTGATCTCGCATGTGTTAGTCTAGCATCGTCAAGTCTCTCCTCATCGACGTCTGACCCGTTCATCAATTAGGCAAACATTATCTGCACTAGAACCCCCTAGTGGAGTCCTACCACAACATGTGTCTGACCGGCACCTAATTTTCTAAAATAGTTGTGTCCGGCAGGTTCCCTACTGTACCGATCAAGTGGCATGTCTACAACATTCACAACAGCTTGTCAACATAGTCTATGTGTATCCTGATGGGTTCACTTACAACAGCAATAGATAGAACTGGCTATGGTAGCATACAACAGTCCTAATCTAATCTGTCTGTGAGGTGTTAGCAGTCTGTCCACCAACTAATCAAGAATACAAACGACCATGTTGCAGATGTATGATTCATGGGTATGGTTGTGTTTCCAGTTGAGCACCAATTAGAACCTACCCTCCCCTCAATCCAACATACCGGTAAGCATCATTGAGCGAGCAGTGTCTTCGTGTGTTTTTCGGCCCACCCCTGTGCCCAAGTCATTGCCGAGCAAGCCAGCCAGTCCACTCTTATTTACTATTTACCCTCGTACGGAACGAGCCTTACACCCGGATGATCTGGCTGATCAGGAGGAATTTATAGAGCGCCCCCATCTCTTCAGGAATTCTTTAACGTCACAGTCAGGACGACGATCACAGCCAGAATCAACCAAGTCCCCAACCAGAAATGTTTATAGACGGTCTGGTAAGTGTCTCATAAAAGGCTGGCACACCCGGCAGGACTTCTATTCAGCGCAGCAAGTGCCTAAATGGACAGCAGCCATCGCATGCGTGACCTACTCCCATTGGGTCCGCATGGTGACCGTGACCCAGTGCTTCGACCAGGGCCCTTCAGAGGCACCGCCCTTTCTCCTTCAGATGCTTCCGGGAAGATTGTGGTCTCTCAAGGTAGCGCGCTCACGACACCTCACCAAAAGAGAGGACTCTCAAGTTGGACTCACTTCCTCACGGTAATTGAGAGAGTAGATAAGGTAAGGGAACAACGAACCTGGAGATAGCTGCCCCCAACCACAGATTTCTCACCAATTGAGCTGAGTGTGCATTTGATGACCGGTCCTTGGCCTCGGTACCACCCACAGCGCAATGCAGTGCCACCTCAGCCTAATGCCACATCAGCATGCTCTCATCACCAATCATACATTCCGCCTGTCACCACGGCATATACTGCCGTCTTAGCCTTCCGGCGCACCCCTCTCTACCCAGGGCGTGCGCCTATATGGCCTGACGTCACAAGTACCAACTGCGAAGAAGCATCGTCAACGCACCAAGTCTGTATAACGCCAGCGTGCCAAAGGTAAGTGGCGAATCAAACCAGCTCCGATACCATATTGCAAGGAACATGAATATGGACGAAGCACAGAAATCCAGATTGCAAAATCACACTGAAGTCCAAGTAGTCAAAGCCAGAGCAGATAGCACAATGGAACCGAGTAACCATCCATTTGAGAATGATACAGAAGAATCGTGAGTCAATGTCCAAGCCCAACAGGGCAACACCAACAGCATAACCCAATGTAGCTCTCTCTTGTGAATGGCGCCAGGCGCCCTATCTACTCTACAG